GCAGGTCTTCTGCCGAGAGAAAGTTTCCCTGCAATCACGTATTGGTACCACATTTCAGCAGAAGAGTAAGAAAAGATAAGAGACTCCAAAACAGTACCTGGATATCAGAATCTAATTGTTCCTGCTGAATAACTTTCTGAAGACCTTCCTTTGACATCTGACGCTGGTACACCTGCAAATAAATATAATGCTTCTTCAATGGAGAAGGAGAGCAAATAGGAACTTGTTAAGCAAATGCTTCTAAGCTCGAACAATCAAACCTTTTCTTCAATAGTTCCAGTACTCAAAAACCTATAGATGTAGACCCTTTTCTTTTGTCCATCTCTCCAGACTCTTGCAGCAGCCTGTGGAAGAGTTGGAAAATCTGGAAATTATGTACCTGATGTGCAATATATTCTGGCGTCATTTGGTAATTCTCGGGCAAAAGCTTTCACCTGTTTGTCATTGGCTGGATTCCAATCAGGATCAAACAAAACCAGACGGTTCCCACCGACCAAATTAAGACCACAACCTCCAGCCTTGCTGCTCAACAGAAATGCAAACTCATCCTAAAATATGCACTAAATAAGTCTTGCTAATGCCAAATCTGTGAAAGCATAAAAAAATTAAAGCATAACAACATCCCCATGTACCTTTGTTGGATCATTGAAACGATTAACTAGCTTCTGTCTTTTACTAATTGATATAGTTCCATCAAGTCTTAAGAAGGGATATCTCCTTTCACGGCATAATCGAGAGAAAAGGTCCAGTGTCTGATTATTCACAACTTACACAGTTAGGACAGACGCAAAAGAAAGAAGAGAAAAGTAAAAGTGAGATTTCAGTTACTGACTTATACACTAGAAAAGTTGATTATAGGTAAACAAATAAATAATGATATATAGCAGTGTTCGAATCTTGAAAGCAGGCTGTTGACCTTTGCTATCCTATGAAACAGATGTTATAGTCATCAAAATAGCCTGATTGTCGGACCGATGCTAAAGTTTTACCAGCAGAAATTAAACCAAGTAACTAAAGGAGCTAGAGACTGGATAGATAATACAGCCACTTGATCCGATTACAATTATAGAAATTAGATTATTAATACCGAGAAAAACATTCGGTATTTAAGAGATGAAGATTTGTGGCATGTACCTCAATTTTAGAAAACATAAGAGCACTCGACCAAGAGTTAGAATGGGAAGAACAAAGTTAGCAAATCTGCAAAAGGAAGTGCAATTCCTAGGATTGACTAAATATGGAAATTATACCAGACTGAGGTAATGACACCAAAAGCACTGTCAATAACTATATTCCCTTTCATTTCTAACAATATCCGGACAGAGCCCATCAAAAAATACAAATGCTTTTAGACAGTATAAAAAATGATTTGGTGATCTTAACAGGCCCATTAATTAATGAAAACACTAGTGGCGAGTACATTAAGCCACCCAAAATTCATAATTGTGATCAGAAGCTGAAATTAAAGCCAGAGCAAACTAAACATTCGTTCAAATCAAAGAAAACTAACACATGTAACAGAAAAACTTGTATTTCACATGTCTGATTCTGTTAATAGAGTTACTCCTCGATACCTGTGTGTAGTTGGAAACCAAAACAATCCTATCATCAGTTTTCTGACGAAGTTGAGCCAGTAGCCGGGCTAAGACATGCATTTTCCCTGACAGTTCAACCCACAACCCAGCTCCGCCAGTCCATGAGCCACACCTAGCAGATTATTTGTAAGACTCCTTTATTTGGGAAAAAAGCTGAAGATCGATTTTCAGAGAGACAGTGGGCTAAAACAGCTTACCTTCCAGAAAACATTTCTGGAGGGAAAAAGCGGATGCAGTCCTCAAATCCTGATGTCCCTGGACTTCCACTTCGTATTGTGTCGTATATCAGCTTCAAATATTTGACATTAGTAAGCAACAGTTTTGTTACTTGCAAAACTGACTAAACTCAAAAGGATAATATCATGGTTTTGACTTTGTTGGAGTAGGAACTTTTCGCATTTAATTGTGTTATGAAAGTAATAAGGAAAAGCAGTAAAAGGTTAACACAAGGGGGACAGGACCCCAGGGCCTAGGTCCCGTGTTAAGGAAGCAACACGTGATGTAGGTGTTAGGTGCACGTCAGCCCCTGCGGTAGACAAAGTCTGGTGTTTAAGTTGGAAGGAGGGTCAATTGGCAAACCCATACTCCCCGGAGTTTCTAACCAGTGCGCTGCTGGAGTCAGGCCAGAAACCCACAGGAAATTTCTTCGATATCAAAAAGAAAGGGTCAACAAGAAGAATTATCCTAAAGTTTTGCTCTCCCAAATTCAAATTCTCAGGAATATTCATTTATAGAAGTTACTACAGGCACTGACCATCAACTTAACAAATTCAAAAGGGATAATATCATGGTTTTCGCTATGTTGGCTTAGAAATTTCTTACCTCCTATTTGGGATTACATTCTGCTATGAAAGTAATAAGGATTGAGAAAAAGAAGTAACAAGGTAAAGCAAGGACAATTCAAGAGGTTTATCTTTCCATAATTTTCAATTATAAGGAATTAGTCTTCTATGGGTGCCTATAAGTTACCACCATTAACTTCACCACTATCTTGCAATGGAAGTGCAAAATGCTCTAACACCTACTTTTGTCATAAAGCATTAGTTTCAGGTACATGTTCAAGGTATCAACATGAAGCAATAGTTTCAGGTACAATTCGAGGTATCAACATTAAAGCAATGGTTTTCGGTACATTTTATAAGTATCAGTTGCTATTCTTTAATCTGTTTGTCTTCCTCTAAAAAAGTACGCACACAAAAAAAAAAAGGAAAACCTTGTGGCGTTGCTGGTATCTTAAAAGAAGACCCAATGCCGGTATACTTTTTTTAGACAATAAGCAGTATAGTTGTTACAAATGAATAGACTTGAGAAACTATGAGCCAATGATAGCTCACCTTCGGATGATTGCAAAGCTTCTTCAGAGCTGTTATATAAGCTAAGATTTTTGATTGCTTTGCTTCTTCAGTGATAGCTCGTTTCACCTGTACTTGGTAGTGGTAGAACAAAAACAAACTAAATTATCCTAGAGAAGAGCTAAATGATATAAGTACTCCACATGAGAAAAAGCTACAACAAATAAGAATTGTACATTTTTCGAATGTATAAAATGATTGTACAGATCTGACTGGAGAGGTGTCAACTTGCAACAAACAACTTCGATTATCTGCAGAGTAAAAAGTGATTTCACTCAGAACCTTCAGAAGATCAAAACGCTTACCAACATATAATTACTATCTACATAAATGAGAAGACATTCTTTTTTCTGAACAGGATAAATGAATAAAGATTTTTTGAGGTAAAACTTTTGATTTCTTTTTTACTTGCGTTGCTTTAACACCTAAATAACATTCTTTTCATTTAGTTTTTTTTTTCTTTTTTGTAGTATTGAGTTAACTGTTCTGCTGCACCCCTAAGTCTTCGAGTTAGGAGGAGAACACAGTCAAAAGCTGTATTAAACTCCAAAAAGTCACTTAATAATTCGAGTATAAAAAAGTTATTACTACTCTACTTGGTCCGAATTTTGTCAGTCAAACATACAGGAGACGAAAGAAGTTTGCCCTAGATGCCAAAATCACAACTTGGCGGTTTATCATTTAATTAGTAACTCAAACAACAGTCTACACAAAATAACAGATCCTATAGAGTAGCAAAAAGTGCAATAGATAAAGTCATTGTGCTTCTTCTAATGTCGAATCTTCTTAACACATTCAACACTTCTTCATAATACACTGTGTTACATTAGCTAATGAGTTAAAGATAAGGCATACCTTTGGTGGTAGGTGGTTTGACAATAACGCATTTGTCCTCCTCAAAATAAACTGACAATTAGGAACAAAAAAGGCTGTTAGTAATATGCAGGAAAACACTTCAAATCACCACATGTGAGGGAAAAACGCTTGAAATGAAAACACTTCAAAGCACTTCAAAATACTTAAAGGCTTTAGAATGAACTCACAAGTAAACAACGGACTAAGGTGGGGTAACTCCAGTAAAGGTTCATATTCAGTGAAGTTAGGGTACAACAAACTGTGTGCACCTAATGAAGTGATTGAGCATTGGCCCTGGAAGCTGATATGGAAGTCAAAACTCCCTACAAGGGTCATGTGCTTTACATGGAGAGCCCTCAAAGATGCTATCTGACCCAAGACAATCCATGTAGAAGGAACTTTGTTAACACCCTTTTAGTCTACCAAACATTTACACATGGAAAGTTTCAGAAGATCAGGAAGTAGATGAGTTCAGCAACTTCCGGCATCTGTTAGGCCTCATGTGTTAGTTTAAAGATTAAGACGTCTGAATCTGAATGCACATCTGAATATTAAGATGTATATTAAGATTAAAACGTCTAAATCTGAATACACATCAATATATGTGTATTACTATCTGAATACTAGATGATTAAGACTATTTGTTTTTTCAACATCTGAATGTAAAAATTTATTTTTATTTAAAAATTAATAAATAGAAAATTCAAAAAAAATACTAATTAATTTAGTATTCTATTAATAAAAAAATTTAAATAATACGAGAGTTGGTGGTGGTGATGGTTAACTGGTGCTTGTGGATGTCGACTAGAGGTTGTGGTTGGTGATGGTTTTGGTTGATGGTGGTAGTTCTAGTCTGGATAGTAGCTAGTGATGATTGATAATGGTAGTTGTGGTTGAGAAAGATAGTGGTGGGTTGTGATGGTTTATAATAGTGGACGATGGCGGCTATGGTTGATGGTAGTGAGAATGGCTGGTGGTGATAGTTCAGATGGGCGGGCGAGTGGCTATGGTTGAGGATAATGGTGGTGGTGTTAGTTGATAATGGTGGGTTGGTGGGTGGCGGAATACAATAATGGTGGGATGGTGGGTGATTGATAATGATGGTAGTGGCAGCTTGGATGGTGATGGTCGATGATGGTGGTTAAGAGCCAGTTTGGCCAAGCTTCTGGGAGGCCAGAAGTACTTTTTGAAAAATTTGAGTTGTTTGGCCAATACAGAAAAGTACTTTTTGCCAGCAGCAGAAGCAGTTTTTCTACTTTTGGGAAGAAGCAGAAAATTCTAGCTTCTTCCAAGAAGCAGAAGCAGAAGTAGAAAATTAATTTATTCAAGACAAAACTATCCTCACCATAAATTTATATTTTCCAAATTATCCTTTACTAATTTAAGTTTTTTCTTTTCATTTTTGTTTCTAGTTTTTACCATCCTATTAAAATTAAAGATATCATATATATGAATCATATTGTAACTTTTCAAATTTTTTATTGACTTTTTGTTTTTGATCTTTTCTTTATGTAATGTCTCGTAACTTTCCAAATTATCTTCTTCTTTTTTCATACTAAAGCAAATTATCTGCATCCTCTTTGGATTATCAATTCTCTTCCTACAAATAATTATTTATAATTTCTTCTATTATATGCTATTAGTTCCCGAATCTTTAAAACAGTTATCAAATCTGATTTGTGAAAATGACCTACAAATAGGTAATAAATTTACAATTGCATTGCATAATCTATCTATATATTATTAAAAGAAGAAGAAAATGCATCCAGATTTAGTCAAGTGGCAGCCTCACAATAGGCCACTTGGCATTTTAGGACAAAGTTAGTAAGGTTAGGTAATAATTAGTTTCTTTTTGAATTTAAATTTTTTTTTTAAAATAAATTATACATTATGTGTTGTTAATAATTAGTTACTCTTTTTGAATTAGAATTTAAACATACTAAACTATTTCTTTTACGATTTTTTTAATATATTTAAAATTATTTTTATCTTACGCTCAATGCCATCTTTCAAGGTTGACACTCAAAATCATTTAGTTACAACAACCATGGCTATACATAATTTCATCCGACAACATTTTTTTACCGATAAAGAATTCAACTATTATGCTAATGAAGACATTACCGCAAAGATTGATGAAGGAGATCAGCCTTATGATATTTCTTTAGAAATGCGAGGCAAGTCTTCTACTAATATTGAAGTGTTGTGTGATAGAAGTAGAGATGAAATTGTTGAGAAGTATTATCATGTGCGAGTGACTTTACTTATTATTTCATGATGGATTATCAATATATAGTAATTTGTGGATAGACTTCTAATTTATACTGAATGATGTTATTTTAATGATTCAAATCATCAAATAAAAATAAGTAATTATACTAGATAATATAATATACTTTAGTATAACTATATATGTAAAATTGATTTAAATCTTTAATATGTTTTTTTACTTTATGTTTTATATTTTAATTAAATAAAATATAAAAATAATAAAAGTCTCTTACGATAAATATTTAAGTTCATTTTTTTGTTTAAAAGAATTATACGACCTTGGTACTATCCTTTTTGGTAATTTGACACTCAAAAGCACTTTTTGAAATGATTGGCCAAACACAAATTATTTACCAAATGTTTCAAAAAGTACTTTTTAAATGAATTGGCCAAACACAAACAGTTTTTTTTCAAAAGTACTTTTTAAAAAAGTACTTTTTAAAATAAGCAGATTTTGGCAGCTTGGCCAAACGGGCTCTAAGTATGGTGGCGGTCGATACTGGTGGTTGAGTATGGTGGTGATCTAAGTTGCTCCCACACGGCAGTTTAGGTACCGCACCCATGTAGACACGACAGTAATATGAGTGTGGGTATGGGATCCGCACGAGATACAATTTGATTCTCGAAATCAGAACCAAAACTAGGGTAAATTTGAAGAAAATAGCATACATTATCTAGGAAATTAATCCTTTACTTATCTACAACTTGAGAATAAAAAAGAAATCCACAATTTACAAGCTATACATAAGTATTCCATAAAATTTCTCATAATTTAGAGATATTTTTATATTTTTCTTTTTTTGAATTATTTTTAGCAGGATCCCCGCACCCAGTGTTGTGAAGAGCATGAAGCGAGGAAAAGCAACAAGCCCCTTTTCGCTTAAAGCGAGAAGCGAAGCACTTGCTTTTTTGAAGTGAAGCGGAATTTTAAAATAAATATTGCATAGACAACACATGTAACTGTAAGCAAATGTTCAACACTTCAATGTAAAAATTAAAGAGTAGCATCAATTAAAGCACAAAATGAACATCCTATTCTTCTACAAGATTGTCAAATTCTTGTATTCCATTATGATTATTATATTGCTCGTCATCTTCTTCAACTTCTTCTTCTTCATCAACTAGGGACAAAGTAGCTACTTCTTTTCCCTTCCTCTGTGAACAAGATTGTCAAATTCTTGTATTCCATTATCATTATTATATTGCTCGTCATCTTCTTCAACTTCTTCTTCTTCATCAACTAGGGACAAAGTAGCTACTTCTTTTCCCTTCCTCTGTGAACTTGAATTTGAGGTACTCCCCCTCAAACCATAAATCCTCTCCCTAATTCCACGCGCCTCCGCAACATCACCCCAAGTGAAATCAGAAGTTTCCTCAAATACTTCTTCATTTGCATGATCTTCCGGGAGACTCCAGTTAGCCATTCATTAGCATCATCGATGTTGTCCAAACTAATTGGATCAATTACACTACGAGCTTTGTAATGACGCCTCAATGTTATGTCAGTGTTGTGAAGAGCGTGAAGTGAGGAAAAGCGACAAGCCCCTTTTCGCTTAAAGCGAGAAGCGAAGCGCTCGCTTTTTTGAAGTGAAGCGGAGTTTTTTTTTAAAAATATTGAAATAAATACTGCATAGACAACACATGTAATTTTACGCAAATGTTCAATACTTCAACATAAAAACTAAAGAGTAGCATCAATTAAAGTACAAAATGAGCATCCTATTGTTCTACAAGATTAAAGCATTTCGCTGCAATTTATCACTGAAATAGTGAAAGAAAAAGAAGAAGATGAAGAAGAGAATGAGAAAAAGAACTGAAGGGAAAAAAAATTGCTCAGCATTTCGCTGCTATTTTGGGGGAAGGATGAGGAGATCACATACCTGGGCTTGAACTTGATAAATTTTTTAAATTTTTAACGTTGACAGCCTTAATATATAGAAGCGCTCATGTAACGACCCGACCGGTCGTTTTGAGCTTTTGTACTTTGATCGCCAGTTCTCGGGCATGACTTGCCCCGTGTAACGTATTATGACTGATGTAGATCGTTGGTTTTGGTTTCCAGGAAAAATCGGAATGAATTTGAAGGAACAGTCTCAGTTGAAAGCTTTGAATTTGAAAGGTTGACTAAGAGTTGACATATTTGTATATGAGCTCGGATCAGAAATTTTATGATTTGGATAGTTTCGTTGGGTGATTTATGACTTAGAAGCGCGATCGGAATGCATTTTGGAAGTCCGTGGAAGGATTTGGCTTGAATTGGCAAAGTTAGTATTTTGGCGAATTCCGGTTGATAGGTGAGATTTTGATCCGAGGGTCGGAATGGAATTCCGAGAGTTGTTATAGATTCGTTATGTTATTTGTGATGTGTGTGCAAAATTTTAGGTCATTTGGACGTTGTTTGGTCGACTTTTTGATCGAATTCGGATTTCAGAAGTTTTGGAATTCTTAGGCTTGAATCCAAGGATGATTTGATGTTTTGATGTTGTTTTGAGCGTTTCGAAGGTTGGAACAAGTTTGAATTATGTTTTAGGGTGTGTTGGCATGTTTGGTCGGGGTCCCATGAGTCTCGGATAAGTTTTGGAAGAGTTTTTGGAAGATTTTGTCGTTTTGAGCATAAGCATATAATGATCCAAAGATCCATTTTTAGTTCTAGAGATCGACATTTGATTTCGAGACTTCCGGAATTTTGATAATGAATTATAGGACTTATCTGGAAATTTTGGTCTAATTTCATCAAGTCGCGATTGGGTTTTTGACACGAAACATGAGTTAATTGTTTAACGAGCGAAATGGGTATTGAACTGAGCAAATGAGCTCCGAATTGAGTTTCGACTGAAGGGCTATGTTCGTATTATTATTTGTGACTCATAGGAACAAGAATCATCGAATTCCGAGTTCGTATGATGGAGTTAGAGCCTTTTTAGTGAAAAGAAAAGTTACTGCAATTTTCTGGGCAGTTTCTGTATTTTTCGCACGTGTGAATAGTAACCGCGAAAATTTCTGGACAGTGTATGATTCGGGCAGTCCGAGAGTTTTTTCATTTTTTGAGCGATGGAGCTCGGATTGAAGCGATTTTCGAAGCGATTTTCACCATATGGATTGGAAGCAATAAATGCTCGCTTAGATGCAATCACAAAGGATTTAGCAAATTCGAAGGCCGATTCTGAATCAACTAAAAGTACCAGTCATAATCGAGATTGGAAGGGTAAAACTGGAGTGGCAGGAAGGTCAGGATCAGAAATCAGAGGAAGTTCCAGCGTTCCTAGATATACAAAGTTGGATTTCCCACGTATTAGTGGCCAAGAGGACCCTTTGGGATGGTTGACAAGTGCGAACACTTCTTTCGACACCAGCAAACTGCAGAAGAACAAAAGGTTTGAACTTGCTTCTTTTCATTTGAAGGGGTATGTACAATTCTGGTTCCTTCAACTAGAGACAGATATGCCTCAATCGTCTTGGGATGAGTTCAAAGGTCAATATTACCTTCGTTTTGGGCCACCAATCAGAAGTTAGAAGTTGGTAGAATTGGCTAAGTTGTGTCAGGTCGGGTCTGTGGCAGATTACGAGGAAAAGTTTGAGCAATTGATTTTGCAGGAGTCGCAAAAAATTTGAACTTTATATCAATAGTCTTGCTAACTATAAAGAAACTGAAGTGGAGTTGCATAATCCTCTAGATTTGGCTACGGCACTGAGTATGTCCCGGCTTTATGAACACAAGGGACGACCCCTTCATTTGATTATCATATGTCCGTAGATTAAAGACCGTAGATATCCCACCTCAACAACACACCAGATTTGTAAAGAAATTGACCATATCTAAGATGGAGGAAAGATGCCTTAAGGGACTCTTTGTTTTACTTGTTATGAACCATTTACCCGGGGACATCAATGCAAGAAATTATTCTGGATTGAATCTTTATCGGAAAAGGAAAAAGAATCTGACGCACAAGAGTCAAATCCTTGCACTGATTTGACTACCAACAACACTTTCCACATTTCTCGCTTGAGCAAGCGCGATTTGAAGAAGGGGAGTAATGTTAGCACCCCCCCCCTTTAGCCTACCAAACATTTACACATTGGAAGTTTCAGATCAGGAAGTAGATGAGTTCAGCAACTTCATGCATCTAATAGTTATGTTCATATATTTCCTGTAGTAATTATTAGTAGTAGCGGTTATCAGTAGTAAGCCACTTTCTCATTTCAGTTGTGTTAGGAAGTTATTTCCCAATTTTTAGGTGGGTGGTTAATCCATCAGTGTTTTTATTTAAAGTTATTTGAATTCAGTGAAAGGTAGATAAAAAATTATTCCAGACTTGGAGTACTTTAACTCAAGAGATTGCAGGTTCTTTCTTAACGATCCAGCACCATAGGTCGCAAAAAGAAAACCTCTTCCCAAACTCCTAATTTACTCCATATTAACTCTGATTTGGTACGCATCATCCCATAACTAGATCCGAACTAGCAGGGGAGCGTAACAAACTTTCAGCTGGTGAATAGATGCTATATGTGCAAAGACAATTCAGAATCAGTCAACCACCTATTTTTGCATTGTACAGTGGCTGCTGATCTAAGGCACATGTTCCTATCAGTTTTTGCATTAGTTGAACAATTCCGTAGAATATAAAGGAAAAAGTTGAAAGTTGGAGCTTTTGAAAAGCTGACAGAACCATCAAGAAAATCTGGCAGGTGACCCTAACATGTATTTTATGGTGTATCTGGACAGAAAGAAATCACATATGCTTTTGATGTCATTTCAACTCCTAACTGTTCCTTGAAATCTAGGTAAATGATAAATCTTTTCAGTTGGAGCAACTTAACCCCTGTAAATGATGGCATCCCCCTTCTAGATTTCACTAGTTCTCTTACTTTGGCATACAAACCAACTTTTTGGTCTTGGTTAACTCCCTGTTCTAGATATATGAATTCTTGTAATAGGAGCTAACCAAACTTCTTTTGTACTCTTTTGCCCCTTCTTGATTCCACTGATATAACACCTTACTTCATCAGGAAAAAAAAAATCAGTACATGTAGCATTTACCAGATTTTAGGTCCCTAACATGTTGCTTTAGTCAAGAGACAGGCATCAAATTCTGTAAGGAGTATGATTTCCTAGTCAAATCCAATTTGCACTAACTTTTACTAATTAATTTCTGTCATGTCTGATTATATTTCATTTCTGAATATTTTCGATTTTCCCGAATTTAATGATTTAATCTTTTGCTTCCAAAAGGAAAATAAAAAGATTATGGACTGGTTTCAAGCCTTCTGAGTCCATAGAGTGATATTTCCATCATATATCTATCTTCTACACTGGATTTTTGGGTGTAGAATTGCTAAGCAGCGAATAGACTAGTCAAAATTCTGACACCGCATGCTTTTCAGTGAAAAACTTGCCTGATTAACTTTGGAACTTAATTCAGCAGAGCGGTCAGATCCTAATTTCTTCTCTTCCTCGACAGCAGTGGGTTCCCTACCACAAATTATTGGTGCCTACAAACAGTTGGATAAAAAAACACAATTAGATTAAATACTTATATACTGAAAGAAAGAGTAACAACCAATATATTTCTCCTTACCCCGAAAAATATATTTGTCCTTACCCAGAGAAAAAAAGATAAGATGGAGTGTGCATTCAATGCTGATATGATAAAAAGCTTATGTTGTTCCTTAACCCCACAAAGTTGTGGGAAAAGAATAAGGACACTAGAATTCACGTTAACTTTCTGTGTAGTCAAGTAGTAAGCTCACCTCATAATAACGCCGAAAGTGTGCAGCATCGCCCAAGATACCAGGATTGGTGAAATTAACCATAGCATAAAACTCTTCTAGATCATTCTGCATGAAAGAAAAATGCATCAAACAGCAAAAACAGATTGTGTTAATAACAGATATTAAAGGAAAAGTCTGATAGGATCTCACTTGCATTGGTGTCCCTGATAGCAGAACCCGGCGCTTGCAAGCTAAAGCAGCCAACGCCTAATCACAAGTTTTTAATTGGGCTCAACAAAGATTCTAATTCATCCACAAAAGGAAATCTAGGTCATCAGAATAAGTAAATATGTCTTACTCGATTAGTCAGCGTTTGATCATTTTTCAGTCTGTGAGCCTCATCACATATGAGAAGGTCACATGATCCAGAATTACTAAATTTTGAAGAATGCATTCGAAATGTCTCGTAGGAAACAATTAAGACCTGCAAGAACATTATATGAATTGATAATCCTTAGCCATAATTGCAAATTGGATAGGTCAGAAAAAATACCTCTAAATTACTAAGTGGATTAATAAAACTTTCTATGCCAGACACAACATCATCTCTGGTGCTTTCACATAAAGCAACAAGCTTTACTCTTTCTCCAACCCACTTATTGATTTCCGCCTCCCAATTACTAACGAGACTGGTAGGGGTCACAACTATTGCCTTCCTGACCATTGGTTTTCCATCAAATCCCTGGCGAAGAAGAGTGTAAAGTAGAGTGATTGATTGCAGAGTTTTCCCTAAACTGCACAAAAACACAAAAAGCAGCTAGTAAGCAAAACAAAATACCTAAGCCTGCTCAACTTAGAGGCACGAAGTACGGGAGAATAATCAGAAACAATTTACCCCATATCATCAGCTAAAATGCACCCATTAATGTTGAAGGTACTAAGTGCACCCGAGACACAGTCAAACATAAACTGGACCCCTTCCCTGCAAGTAAAATCAAGTATAGTCTTTAAATGACTTAGATGCTGCATGCATGCTAAAAAAAATCAAATTTAAGAGTTTCTCAGTGTTGCTTAGGGCGTTTGAAATGCATTTAAAAGAGACTGGATACTACAATGGTGTTAAAGATTAAGTAGAAGGTTGAAGTTCAGCAAATAATATAAATATTCTTTTAGGAGTTATGACAAGGAGCGAACATTTATCAACTTACTGATGCATATCACCAGCATAATGTTGCAAATTCAACATGAATATCATGAACTAAATGGCACAAAGTAACCTAATCAGACAATATGAGGAATCTTTTGAGGGCATCATACTAAGATACATTCAAGTCCATAGCTTCCAATTTTAACATTGCCCTTTCATTCATGCACTTAATTCAACATTGCACCATTAAATATCACATGCAAATAATCAAATACACTCTATATCATGAAGTACCTTTGATGAGGACGAAGGAACTTAACAAGCAATGGATCCACAATTATAGGTACTAAATTACAGCCTTCCTCCACAATTTCTTCAGGCTGCCACAACACCAAAGGTTCAACACCAGGTGGCAGTTCTACATTTTCTTCCGCTGCATCTATCTCAGCAGCTTCTGGAGCGTGCAGCATGTTTGTAATTGCAAGCAACACTGGCCTTGTTGACCCCCATGGCACAAACCTTTTACGAGCACAAAGACGACGGGATAGATGCTCATTGGTACTACTGTAACCATTGGAGCTTGGAGGTTTGAATGGCTTTCGGAGATTGGCTGCTGCATCTGTCACTGAATAGACTCGTGGAAGTAGGGATTGTCTTTTCACAATAAGGTTACCCCTGATTTCATCACAATCAGGATATCTTAGATCCATGTTATAAGATTCCTAAATAGTTTCCCTTCAGCATTAGTGATCTATCAGAATTCAAAAAGTATTAATTCATTTTGCACAAAAAGTGAAATGTGCATTCTAATAACTCTGCAGGAAAGTCTTGAATCAGAACATTGGTACAAACTTCAAATTGTATAGAGCTGCTGTTAGAGTTCCCCCTAATTTGCCTAAAAGACAAATTTATTTAGTACTTCCTCCGTCCCAATTTATAAGATATTGTTTGACCGAGTTTAAGAAAGACATAAAGACTTTTGAAATTTTGTGGTAGGAAACAAGCCATAAATACTTGTGTGGCTAAAAATCATCTAATTGCGGAAAAAATAGGAAGTTTAATGCTAAATTATTTCTAAATATAGAAACGTGTCATTCTTCTTGGGACAGACTAAAAAGAAAATAGCATCACATAAATTGGGACAGAGGGAGCACTTGGCCAAACTCAGTAGAAGGGAAATAGAAGATTCATATAACCGTCCCTAACTAGTTTGGGATTTAGGCATAGTTAATCCATATTTAACTGCTACTCTCAGAACTCCTCGCTGACATGAGCCAGGCGATTGACAAAATAAACAGCTTCTGTCACAATAACATATGAATAACTGCGAAACCCTAATTTAACCAAAGGTCTCCACCATACTCGAAGAGCAGTCTTATCCACCTACTACTTATATGCTAGGTCTTTGCAAGCAAAGAATAAATGAATAATTGACTCTACCTCACAAGAGCATCAACATTTTGCGATTTTCGATCTTCATCAGGCGAACTGGTACCTGCGTGAGATTCTACACTATGGTCATCATCGCCGCTATTAGATTCGAAATCGTTGTTATCATCGGCCTCGCAAAGGAATTCATCGCTCGAATCATCACGTTCTGAAGCCGAAAGAGCCTCCTCCTCGGCCTCCATTACTCGTCTTTACTCTTTCAGAAGCTGCTCTCTGCTTAAGGCTTTTGAATCTTTCGATTTTGGCGGTAAGTCGAAGAGATCGGGAGAAAAACGTACCTAACAAGTTTCCAGTAATTGCAAACTTAGAGCCCGTTTGGACATACAAAAATTTTCCTTTTTTTCAAAAACAAATTTTAAAATGATGTTTGGTTATTAAATTCTTACCAATTTTTTCTTTTTCACTTAAAAATGGGAATTTGCTAATTTTTAGTTTTATAAATTTACCCTATATTTTTAAAATTTATAAAATGACCCCATTAGTTTTTCATCTTTAGCAGATACATTTTTAGCGACTAGTGGTAGAACATCAGTCCTAGTTGATATTTGAACTCTGCCTAGGCGTTTGGACATGAATTCCAAAAATTATTTTCAAATTTGAAATTTCACTAAAATTTGAATTGAAGATGAAGTTGTGTTTGATTATAGTTTTTGCAACATATTTAGATGTCTTTTTTTTTTTAAAACCATAAAACATTATTTATACCCATACAACTTATAAAAAATATCAAAACTACCCTAATTTAATTATCCTACTTGAAATAAACAATCAAAATGCTATTGTTAACTGTTATCATATTCTGCTTTACTGTAGTACACAGAAGATGCAAAATCAATATTACATTTTCTAATTTTACTAACACACAGAGAAGGTGCAAAAGCAGGCATAGTCACATATTTCTCATAATCATATAATCAAACTTCCAGTAGGCAGAGTTCAAGTATCAACTAGGACTGATGTCCTACCATCAGTCGCCAAAGATGTATCTGCCAGAGATGAAAAACTAATGGGATCATTTTATAAATTTTAAAAATATAGGGTAAATTTGTAAAATAAAAAACTAGCAAATTCCCATTTTCAATTGAAAAACTGGTGAGAATCAATTTTTCAAATTTGAAAATGGATTTTCAAGTGAAAAAAGAAAAATTAGTAAGAATGAAATAACCAAACATTGTTTTCAAAAAAAAATTGAGAAAAAAGGAAAAATTTTGTATGTCCAACCAGGCTCTTAAATCCTAATTGAGGCATTAATTCAACTGGAGTATTAGAACCGGTGCAATATGCGACGAATCTTCTATTATTAATATAATATATAATTATTATTAATTATTAATTACTAAATATCATTATTAATTACTATTAATTATTATTAATATTTAATATTTAATATATTATATAATAGAAGTGGCAAAGAAAGATTATGATGACAAGTGGCAGCACATTAAATTAACATGTGTAAATTTTTTGGACAATTCTCCAACTTTGTTGGAGTTTTAAATTTATTTTAGAAAATGTAAAAATTTTAATGTTGACAGTTATTTTGAATTTTTTTCTTTTGAAATAGAATCGTAACTTAATGGCAGTTAATTTCTGCCCATTTCAAAAGTTTGATTTCTTTTTTAAAAGGTGAAAATAGTTATTGAGCTGCCATTTAATACTTATTGTAAAAAAAAAAACTTTAAATTTTCTACCAATTCCAAAAGAAACCACGATTCTGTTCTTTCTGCCAATTCCAAAATATTTAGAGTAAACTTTATTTATATATTTGATACTTATTATTTTTACACAGGTATCCAATACTTTGATCTCTTCTCCAATGCATTCTGAAAAAAAAAATTCAAAAATTGATTCCAATGAAATAAGTGTGGATTTTGACCACTTATTAGTACATTTTTACTTTTGTTTTAGTCAGAAAGTATTGATTTATGTTCCCAAAATTTACGAAAGTGTGCAAATTGCAGGAATGTTGGAAATTTGGACTCTTATGAAGAAACTCGATTCAAAAAGGAGTGTTCCGACTCACAAGGAAAGAAGGGGCGCATCACACAAGAAGTGTGGTCCGTAGAAGCAAGCGAGGACTGCATAATTCCCTCCGCGGTTGCAGAAATGGTGAAGAATCCTAGTAGTAATTTAAGCAAAAGTGCGGACCACACATGAATTGTATGGCCGTAGAACTTAGTCCGCACTGACAAGAATTCAAAAAGTTCAGAGAGTGTGCAAATGACCAAGACTGAAGCCTTGCCTGAAGTGCGGACCGCACAAGAATTGTGCGGCCACAGACCAAATTGTGTAGCTGCAGAATCCAGTTCCTTACATATTTAAGCAATGTGTGGACCGCACATGGAATTGTGCGACCGCAGAACCTCCCGAGGGGCATTTTTGTCAGTGAATTTTAGGCCACTATAAATAGACGAGAATCACATTTGTAGGTCAAGTTTTAAAGTTCAAGTAGTTATAGTAATTGTAGTTTTCCATTTTAGGAAGTTTTTGATCATTTTGGGATAAAAACATCATAGTTTATCATTTTAATTTTGTATTATCAGTTTAATTAGTATTTCTTCTCTGTTTTCCTCATTTTCTACTATGAGAAGCTAGATATTTTGTAATGACCCGGCCGGTCTTTTTGAGAATTTAAGTTCCATTCAGCGGCGTAAGTTCTTGAATAGCTTCATATTATGTTATCGACTTGCATGCATGGTTGAATTCAATTACTGGATGATTCGGAGTCGAATTGGGGAAGGAATCTAGTTTTGGAAGCTTAAGAAGCGAGAGTTGACCGGAATTTGACTTTTGTGTAAACGGCCCCGGAATGGGTTTTGGACAATCTCAACAGCTTCGTATGGTGATTTTGGACTTAGGTGCACTTCCAGATTCGGATTTGGAGGTCTATAGAGTAATTTGAGGTATTTCGACAAAAGTTGGAAAAGTTGAAGTTTGGAAAATGGAGAGGTTTGACCCATATTTGACTTTTGTGATACCGGGGTTGGAATGCGATTCCGAGAGTTGGAGCAGCTCCGTTATATCATTTTGGACATGTCTGCAAAATTTGGCGTCATTCCGGGTTGGTTTGATTGGTTTCGGCACGAGTTTTTGAAATTGGAAGATTTGGAAGTTCATAGTTCGATTCATGGCGCGATTTGCATTTCCGATGTTGTTTGATATGATTTGAGACCTCGAGCGAGTGCGTGTTAGGTTATAGAACTTTTTTGTGCGCTTAGACGGGGTCCCGGGGGCCTCGGGTGTGATTCAGACGAGTTTCAGATCTTTTGCATGGTTTTGAGCATGTCTGATTTCTGGTGTTTTCGCTCCTACGACCTTGGAGCGTAGGTGCGGCTCCGCTTCTGCGTGATCCTGGCCGCTTCTGCGGTCATGAAGGCTTGGGAGCTTGCTCGCTTCTGCGAAGGTTGGCACGCAGGTGCGAAGGCCGCTTCTGTTGTCCAGCTATCGCACCTGCGGTGAAATCTCGCTCCTGCAATTTCCCTTTCGCTTCTGCGATGTCGCTGATGCGGCTGTATATCCGCGGATGCGGTCCCTGGCTTGGTCAACTGAGTTCGCAGATGCAGACTCTCTCTCACAAATGCTATCCTGCAGATGCGGTTTCTTGACCGCACATGCGGAAGTTCTGGCAGAATCATATAAGTCGAGAGTTTGGCCATTTCTTCATATTTTGAGTTTTAAACTTGGATTTGGGAGCTTCTTTTGGGGGTTTTCAAGAAAATCGATTGGGTAAATGTTTTTCACCTAGAATCTAACATATTCCATGATTTTATCTTCATTTTCATCATTTAATTTGTGTTTTGAGTTGAGGAAAATGATGATTTTTGAAGAAAATTTCAAAATGAAAATTCATGATTTGAGGGATGAAATAGTATCGGAATTTGATAATTTTTGTATGGTTGAACACGTATGGGAATGGATATTCGGATTTTGTAAAATTTGTCGGGTTCCGAGGTGCGGGCCCGGGGGTCGACTTTTGGACCGATTTTTAGATTTTGTTAAAGCCCGAGACTCTATGATCCAGAATAGTTTCTTATGTATTTTATTTGTGCTTTGAAGTTAATTTGGTTAGATTTGAGCCGTTCGGAGGTCTTTTTACCCGAAAAGTGCATTGTAGAGTATCGGTTTGTCGTCTTTGAGGTAAGTATCTTGCCTAACCTTGTGTGGAAAATTGGCCTTTAGGGTCCTTAGGCTTTTATATTCACTATGTATGAAGTTATTCTTGATATAACTGAGTTTCCTATTTATTAGTTTCACCTTTACATGCTTAATTGGAATTAATTGCTTCATGATTCACTCTTATTGCCTAATTGACTCCTATTTTATTTAGTCTTAAGTGAAGCTAAGATCATCTTTCCTTAATTGAATTGTCGAATATCCTTGTAATTGTCCAACCTTAAAAGGAGTTAGATAACCTATATCTTTGTTGACTTGCCTTTATTTGGGACTACTTCACTCGTGTTGATTTTCTTTGTTATTGACTTGTATATTGTGGGATCATTGCTACACGTTAGTTTTTTCCTTGTTGAACTGTTCCCTTTTATGCCAGCATTCTTTTCTGTGGTTATTCCTTGTGAGGTGGTTCTATCGTTTCTTTGTGATTTATAGTTCTTGAGTTGATTACTTGTCGTACCTTGTATTATTGTCATTGTTGATGTTGTGCGTGTTGTGGTGATGTACGAGTTTTCTGCCGTACTGTAATTGTTATCTCTTTGGTTGCCCTATACATTTACGTTTGGGACTACGGGACGGTATCCCGGGAGATCCCATTTTCTGCATATTTACTTTGAGATTGCTAATCATGTCCAACTATGCCTTATAAAAAGGACTAAGCAGTCATTGCAAATATAATCTGGTTTATATGTACGTAGTCGAATCTCACAAAGAACTAAAGCTTAGCTACAACTGTTCAATATCACAAAGAAGGCAAGCTTGAACAATTCCTAACTTATAAATATTATAATGTTTACTTTTATCTAATTAACTAACAAATACTAGAAATCAGTAAAACTATCAATTAACAATAATAAGGATTGGAGACGAGATTAAGGAGGTCTAGAGTTATGATTTTCCCTATTGTCGGAATCCTTCCCGCTACGTTTTCTATAAATTTGCCTAAGTATTCTCTATCGATCATGAGCGCTGTGACTGTCGTAACTCTTTCCCGAGTAATTACTATAATTTACTAGACATATTCTCCTGAATTACGCTAGCTGACATTAAGTATGGCTCACTCGGATCGCACCCAAGGTTTCATTATCCCTAATCCCACCTTTAAACCCTCCATATTGATCCCTCAT